GGTGCTTCATCAAAAATGTTATTTTTGGGTACATGGGTCGATCCGACCCGTTTATACCACTTGACAATCTTGGGAGAGTTGATTATCTAAAAAATTGTTGTTTAGGGTATACGGGTCGACCCGACCCGTTTATGTATTTATATGCGATGGTAGGTGGGTTAGTATGGGTGAAGGTGGGCAAGGGTCATATGAATGGGCCAAGTGGATTAATATGGGTGGGTCAGCGTTAGGGTGGGTTATGACCCTTTAACAAGCATTGATCATGGGTCAGGATGGGTGGGTTGGTATTCAACCCTTACCTAACCTAACCCAACTCAACCCACCCATTTGCCACCCCTAGGCGATGTGATCCCGAAGGACTAGGAGACAATAAGTTGCATGTAGCAGACGCTGGTCGCCACGTCACACAAGTCAACTCCTAGACCTCAGTCAAGTCAGTGGGACCTCGGCGGGAGGTCGCCCCTCATGCTGAGGTCCTTGGCTCAGTCCTGACGAGATCGTCAGTCTGCTCCTGCCAAAGTGCATACAAGTCGGCCCTAGATGAGGTGGTGTTGAGCGCTCTCCAAGGTGCGCGGGGTGCATCCAAGGTGAACTCAACTGTCTTGGAAAAGGCAAGTCATTACCTACATGGTGCTGAGGTGTTATGCAACGGTTTGGAATTGCCACGTGATGTGATGTCACTGGAGGGCCAGATTACCCCTCATCAATAACCATCAAAGAATTTAAGTTGTGGTAAAAGAATGATTATTTACAATACTGTTGTGCCTCGCACCCCTCACACTACCTTGAGTAGCAACATGAAATCATATTTTTGGTTGCCACCCAAGGTTTAAAATTTCAATACGATACGCCCAAAAAGATACAGCATACGCATGGAAATCGGACGTCTCGTCTTTTTTTTTATGTGTATCAGACCCGTATCAGGGGTGTATCGGGGCGTATTGACGAAAAGGATACGACCAAAAACTATAAAAAAAATAAAGGGGAAAAGCAAGCTTATTTTCCCTGAAATAAGCATTCTTTCACCCCCAAATGACTCAAACTCCAAACCTCATTCCTATAGTGCTAGATTTGCAAAAATTTGCAAGAAACAAGTGTGAATCGTTAAATTTTTCGAAAATTTTTCAAAATTTGAAAAGATATGGCAAAAATAGGTAAGTTTTTTCAAAATTTTATAATATCTTGTGATTTCTTTTTTTCTTAAATGTTTAAATTCATGTTGATCTACATTTCTTACATTCAAAATCATAATTTTTTTTGTGTTATTAATAAATTTATGGAAATTTCATGAAGATATTTGGGGAAAATATAAATTAATAAAAATTTTGAAAATGTAATTTTTCTTTGCCTATAAAGACTAAATATGTTTTAGATCTATGGATTTATCTATCATATCCATAGAGCAATTGAAATTTCTTCTCTAGTATTTTTTTTATTTTTTTATATTTTTAGAATTAAAAAATAAATAATAATTAATTATATTTTATCATTTGATCACAACAATTGAATATATTATAATTCTATGGATGATCTATCATATCCACAGATCAATTGAAATTTCTTATTTAATAATTTTTATTTTTATATTTTTAGAATAAATAAATAAATAAATAATTATGTTTTATCATTTGATCACAATAATTCTATGGATAATTTATCATATCCACAAAGCAATTGAAATTTCTTCTTTAATAACTATTTTTTTAATATATTATATAATGTTTATTATTTTTTATAATTTTTGTACATAAATAATAAATAATTATTGATTATATTTTCACTTAGAAGTTGTTCCAATGCATGTTTTATGGTTGGGTTAGGAAAGTTGGGTTTTTCCCATCCCATAAAACATTAAAACTTAAGAATTATAATTCATAAATTATAGTTAAGCATAGGATTTTTAATGAAATTATAATTAACTACAATATATTTCTTCATAAACCATTAAAATATATTAATTTAATGTATGTACACCTCATCGATGTCGTATATTTAATGTTGTTGATGTATTTTTATGATTTATTAAAGTATTTATAGTGTTTCCAAGCATATCTATGCGTATCTTAGTTTTTCTCCGATACGCATGCATATCCAAGGTGTATCCCGATATGTCTCATAAAATTGCCTTTCCGATACTTTGAACATTGTTGCTGATGTGGACGCGTATTGGGAGCAGCAGCAGCAATGATCCGGTGTTCTCATCCTATCCAATTCGGCAGCAACAGTCTTATCCAWTYRGYAKATTAKATTAGACTATCTTGTTATTCTTATCTTATCTTATTAAGTTAGTAGATTATATTATCTTATCTTATTAGGTTGCCTTATCTTATCAGATTAGGATTAAGAGAGACTTATCTTATTAGATTAGGATTAAGAGAGACTTATCTTATCTTATCAGTCTTATCTTATCAAGATAAAGCTGGAGGTCTCCCTATTCAG